ATTTTTTTATCTTCCATTTATATTGCAAAAAATAATTAAATAACAAAAAAATATAAAAAGGTAATAAAAAAATAAGGAGCTTATTAAGACAAAAACGAAAATGATATAACATTAATCTTTAAAAATGATTCCTTAGCATGGCACGCGGCCAGTGTCCTACTGGCCGCGTACCGGTAGCTAATGGTTCGCGTACCGGCGCCAGTCCACGGACCACCACTTCGGGTACTGGTCTAGAGGCCTGGGTTGAAGCTAATGGCGATTTTAATGAATAAATTTACTCTTTAGTATTTCAAAATATTTTAATGTAATTTTGGTAAATATATCTCTTAAAATGGTATGTCAGTATTATTTTGATTTTTGCTTAAATTTTGACGACAGTTTATCCATCGCACTCTGTATGTGTGTGTATATATATATATATATATATATATATATATATATATATATATATATATATATATAATACAACAGTATTATCGATGATAATAACAAATTTGCTATCACGATTATAAAATAGCATTCAATATCAAGTCCACAATAATCGTCAAAAATAATAAGCGGTTTATTAACACAAAAACAAAATTTATATAACCTTAATCTTTACAAATGATTCCTTAGCATGGGTTGGACACTGGCCGCGTACCGGTAGCTAATGGTTCGCGTACCGGTACCGGTCCGAGGACCACCACTTTGAGCAGCACTGAAATAGACAATCGGGAGAAATGTCATTGTCGCCGCAAGTTCCAGACTTCACGACTTGTGACAAATTGTGAATGAAAATATTTCGTAAATTTGCCTAAGAACGGATGGAGAATGAAAACAAAAAAATGTCTGCTCGAATAGAAAAAAAAATGATGGATTGATTGGTGGGTATTTATTATTTACGAAAAATTCGTTGAGAAGGTAGATTTTACAAATATTTTTTCTGTGTAGACGTGTAGGTGGAGTAAGGTTTAGAGCCACGGCGTGTCGAGCCCGAATTCCAACCTAGAATACTGCGTTCTATTTTACAGTGATATCCTGGTAAAATTATGATTTTATCTCGTATACCCCACCCCCAGCTATGGATTAAACACCAAAGCAGACTCGACTCTATAGTCGTATTTGGTAACCACTGTTGTAAAAGGACAACTCTGAATTAAAAATCGTATGTAACCCTAGAAAAGTACATACTTGAACTAAAGTCCACTTATGTGCCGTATCACCTCAGGACGTAGGCGATCATAGCGCTCCACAATTTCCTGAATTTTTTAGCTCTTAATAAATCTTGTCTTTTATTTATTTTTTCTAAACCTTGTTCCGCCATACTTAAGCTCATCAAGTATATGCATTGTTTTCCTCTGCCCCTTTCGCCCTCAATCTCTCCTGTGAGTATCAGATTTTCCAAGCCCTCCTTCTTAATAATGTGCCCTAGAAATTTCACTGTCTCTTCCTGATGTTAACTAAAAGTTTCCATTTTTTGTTATGTTGGATGGTTTCGCTTGTCACTTTTGCTATGTCAAGCGAAAGCTCATTATAACTTCCAAAAGTCTCGTTATATTCGAGACTTCGAAGATGCACTAGTAATATTTGTTCAAGTAGTAATCGCCAAATAATATAATGATCACAAGAGAATCGTAATCCGTATAGTTGTAGAGAAAGCTAACGTATAGCAATAGTGGATAGACAAGAAGAGTGAACAGAGATCGCATAGTCATCATGCTACTTCCTATTTATTTACTTCCTTTATGATCACGTGATCTAATTAATAATGGAATCGCTCAAGTTACTCACTGTAAATTAGTGTCAAATAATGATATATGTATACATGAGTGGATCGGAACTGTGATCCAGTAGGAACAGTGCAAATGACTCGAATCTATCCATGCAAAACAATGGCAAAGAAGATACATTAGGGTGTTTAAAATTTCCTGAACTGACCTTATTCCTAAGCATCAAATTGTGTATTTGTTTTAATCACTACTATTATTAGCGTCCGTTTTAGGAAAAAAAGGTAAAAAACAACAATTATGACAGATTATATTTTTGTCAAGATAGGTTTTGTGATTCTTTGCGAATCCTCGTCGCCACTTTTGTGATGTTGGACGGCTTCGCTTGTCACTTTTGCTATGTCAAACGAAATCTCATTATCATTTCCCAAAATTGCTCGTTATATTTGAGACTTCGTAGACGCCGGCATTAATAATGCTTTCCAATAATATCCGCACTAGTAATACTTGTTCAAGTAGTAATCGCCAAATAGTATAATGATCAGAAGAGGATCGTAATCCGTATAGTAATAGAGTAGAGAGAGTGAACGTGTAGCAATAGTGGATAGACAAGAAGAGTTAACAGCGATAATATAGTCATCACGCTACTTCCTATTTATTTACTTCCTTTATGATCACGTGATCTAATTAATACTGGAATCACTCACTGGTAATCTAGTTTCAAACCACAGTTTCGGCAACGACACTTACTCTTTTACAACACCTTTACCACAGGTTGGCCCTTTGAATATTGAAGAAAATCAAATGTGCATACCTGAAAACTAGCAGC